CCCCAAAACCCCAAAACCCCAAAACCCCAAAACCCCTTGATAATGATTATTTATTGAAATTGTTCACTGTCTGAATGCGTCCTTTTGGGTGTCCTTCACTTCGAGTTTTCACAGTGCTAATCCTCTTAGGTGTTTTAGTACTGATGGTATGCTCATTAGTATTGTGAATAGAGGTAATGAGAGGATACTTTGACATCTGGCTTCTGTTTTGGCCACCTTTGCGATAATTAGTAGGGCCTGGGATCTGAGTATGAGTCAAATGCTACATTATTAAAGCAGAATTTTACCTTTGATGTCCGCTCAGAGTTATTAATATAGTAGTTAAACAGGTGATCGGTCTTGTGAAATTTGGGGACTTCAGCCTCTGTTGGCTGCAAGGTTGGGAAGAACATCTGGTTGTAGCCGCTGCCAGAAACTTCTGGAGCAGGCTTCTTTATGTTTGATACTGAACTCTATAGATGTTATATCAAAAATTTACCCTCTTTGTCTGCCTGAGGTTCCTTCTTCGCCATTCTTGAACTGTTTTGGGTTTTGAGAGCTTGGTTGAATGGTTCAGTTGCTTAGGTATGAGATCAACTTTTCACGTTGCTCTCGTTATTTTTTGTGTCGTAGTATGGAACAACAAAGGAATTTAGAGTATGTTTTCTAGTTTCACGTTCTTTTATACGAGGATGACGAATTAAGTAAGAATTTGATCTGAAAGCAGGCTCATATTTCGTAATCCTGCTAAATACTTTAGCCTTAATGCTCATCTTTCGCTTAGGGCTTTGTCTGAACCTGTTTACTGTCATCCTTGTGTTGTAACACGCTGTATCAGCGTTTCTGTTTGTAGGGTCAAGGATGACTCTTTGTTTACATTGATTTGGCCTTGCTTTCAGTTTTGAGGTCACTCTAGGACCGTTAAGATAGGCTTTCTGTGCTTCCGAAATTTTCTCTAGAAATTACAGAATGACCTACTTTCATAATTTTGAGTAATTTCCTTATTTAATTTTGGCAAGATTATTTTATTTGCTGCTTTCTTTCATTGGGGTCATTAAATAGATACTTTTCTGGAGATTTATGAACCCTCGGAGTTGGGATGGCATCAACAATTGCCTCCATTTCACCTAACAATTACAGAATAAAGCATACCGTTCTCCATAATAGCTTGCGCTTTGTCAGGATCAATAAGGCCATCCTTAAGCTTAAGGCCTGTGGAGAATATGAAGTTCATATCCACATCATCGATCACATTTTTCTCAAGGTTCTTAATTACGTACCGCTTGTACTTATTTGTCGACCTTTGAACTAGCCAAGTGCTTGCCTGTTGCTTTGGCAGGCTGCTTTGAAACTGCAAGAGCAAACCTACAACATAAGTTCATGCCCATACCGTCTGCTTCTCTCAAGTTTATCCTTGGCTTCCAGTCGGGTAACCTTGGCTTTGACTCTGCGTTCTTCAGGATGTCTCCGGGCTTCAGAAGATACTAAACAATAAAGCTTCGACTAACTTTGCGAACTGTCAAGAAGGTTTGTGGAGAATCTGAATCCCCTGCCGGAGGGCGAGCTAGAAGAGAGCTTGAACAGCTTCTTGCGGTCGGCGGAAGTGAGCTTTTGAGGAGATGCCTTGGTGTCGCCGATGACGAAGTTGAACTCCCCTGAGTTTTTGCATTCTCTCCGTTTAGAACTTTTAGGGTTTTTGGATGCCTTCTGGGAGATTGGAGGTTCTTCTGAAGGCTTCGGTTGTTCTTCTTGAGGCTCTTTAATTTGCTCAGGAGGATCTTCAGGCTTGGAAATAGGACCTGGCTGGTCTTTAGCAGTGCTCCTCTTGGAAGATGTGAAGTGATTTACAAGGTTGGAGTGTTTGGAGCTGAGATCTTCAAGAAGAGATAAGATCTCTTCAGGGGCTTTAGAAGCAGTTTTTGAAGCAGGCGTGTCTTTATGTGGATTCTGACGAGTTGAAGGTTTGTGTTGTGATCTGTCGATGTGTGATGACGACTCGTTGTCTTGGGCAAGGTTTACTGTTTGCTCATCCTTCGGAGCGTTTCGCCTTCGTTCATGCATGTTTTCTGTGTGAATTCTAGGCCTTGGATTTTTCTTGGAAATTCTATTTTCTGATTGTTTTCGAGAAGCTGCTTTAATAAAAGCTTCAGATTTATTTGAAATAGTGAATAGTCTCCTCATTCTTTTCATGTTTTTGACTGAGGTTGGGTATTTCCGCTTTTCATCAATGTCATCTGACTTGTCCATGTACTCCTGGTAACTTTTGTGATCAAATCTTTTCTTAAGGAAATTTTCTACAGCTTCTTGGTGCTTCCCATCTTCAGTCTGTGCTGGATCAGGAAGGCCATCAATCGATTCGGCCTGTCGTGTCCAAAAGTCTTTGTCCTTCCTAAACTGTTATATCAAGCTTACAATTTGTGTTGGCTTTCTTCTAGAATTTTCATAATTAATTGTCTCTGAGAACTGCTTTCTCTGACATCTTCTTCAGGAGACCTTTCTCGACTAATTTGACTTTGCTCCAAAACTTTAGGGATGATTTTGTCAACGCTAAATTGTCAGGATCTGCTTAGATAATTCCAAACCAAGAGTCTGGCTCAGAGCTAAGTGTGCTTACTCTTCATCAACATATTTAAGAAGTTTCTTGATATTTCGTGCGTTGCCTGAGCTGAATCCAGGCTGAATTTCGTCCATCTTCCGGTATAATTTCTGAAGGTAAACGTCTGTGATTTGTTTCCTGAGTGCAGAGCTGTTCGGAGTCCCACTTCTGGCGCTCTCTGATTCTGGGCCAATCGACTCCTGAGAATTTTCTATAAAATGTCAAGAGAATAGGGAAGCGTCCTACTTCTTTTGATTTCTTTCAACTTTATGTTGTATTCACGAAGGATTTCTCGCATTTCTTGTTCGAAGTTCGAAGCATCATTGCTGTTTAAGTGTTGTTCCTATTTGTTAAATGAGAAAGAGTACCAGCATTCTAAATTCTTGGTCTAACTTGGAGGTTTTGTTCATGACTCTATCTATTTGGTCCCCAAGTTCTTGGTCTTCTGGAAGAGCTTCTTCAGAGCTCTCCTTTGACTCTTCAAAAGGAAGATCTTCAGGAGCTACATTTTTGAATGATCTGAATATCTCATCAAAGAGCGAGCCTGAACGAGCACGAGCCTTATCAGGTTCTGCCAACTGGTTTTCAATGGAGACAGTTTGTTTATCCAGGCCATCTATTGGATCTTGCTGGTCATCCAACATTGGTTTAAATTATTTTATTTCAAAATTTTGTTGAAAAAAGGGGTTTTGGGGTTTTGGGGTTTTGGGGTTTTGGGG